ATAAGAAACCTAACTTATTTAATTTATTTATTTTACCCATCAATCACTTAATCGGATTTGGTTACTAATTTAATAAATAAATGTTATTTTACCAAACATTTATGCACAGTTTGACATGTATAACTTAATCTTATTATGGATAATCTAGCGTTACATTATGCAAATAAGTTCTTTATTGTTAGTGGATCATCATGATTTTTTGAACAAAAAGATTTATAAGTTGATTACACAGCATGTGCCGCCGACATTGATTTTCACAAGATATGCAACTATTTGTATTTAAAGGAAAAGTAAAAGGAAAAACAGAGGGACAAATTTAACCATATGCGAAACTCAAGGTGTAAAAATATTGACCTACGTCCATCCATAATTATCCTAGGCCATTAGGACTAATATATAATTATCCACATCCGGTAATGGCAAAAAAATTTCGGCCTGTTAAAACCCCGCACGGCCCCTATCGGCTGAACTTTAATACCATATATGGACCTTCACGCATCTCCGTACGTATAACTCGGGAACGCACTGCTTTAGAAATTTGGCTGATTATTGTTTTTTTGAAGTTGAAACAATCTTTAACTAATGAAGTTTGAATTTTAACAATTTTTCCAAGTTAAATTCTCATAATTACTGCTTTAAATTAGCCAATAAAAAAAAAATGTGTTTTTAATGAATTCAAATATGTTCTCAATATAAGAAATCTAACATTCTTTTTGACGTTTCAACTTATCATCATATAATGCTTTTCTCATTAATGAACCCAATCAAATGTACTGTAAGTATCTTCCCGGAGCCATAGACTCAGTAAGATTGCCTAAATTTTTTAATTGTCAGTCATTGGATATAGAAGTTACGACCAAGGAGGAATGTTAAATCGGTCTTTCAGTCAAAATGTACTTATAATCATTATATGTATAAAATGCTGTACTCAGATTTGAACTCAGAATCTTAAAACTACGTTCATTAATAAATCTATGTGTAAAAATTTCTTTTTAATTAGTTCCATATGTAAGGTAACAACATAAGAATTTAAGATAATTACTTCTCAATTAAAGTTAATCATTTTTTTTTATTTTACTAATACATGAAAACTTTCCATTTAAAGCATCTGTTTGAAAATAAAATGTTTTCCATGTAGATTATACGAGTATAACTTGCCTGAAATTAAGAAAGCTTTGCTTCAAACACTTGGTCGATAAATAGATGTATTAATAACATTGACTGTAATTATATAGAACTTTACTTGTTCTAATATTTAATATTTGTTTTTAATAAAATAATAAATGTAAAAAAAAAAAAAAGCAATAATAAATTTCCAGCATCTAAAACTTAAAACGGGCACGCATTTTAAATTTTGGAGTAATTTTAATTCTGGCCAAAATTATATCTTTACCCGCAATTAACGTTTAATTTATAAATGTAGGTACAGTATCAAGGACCATTTTCTGGTAATCATTGAATTACTTAATTGACTGTTATTAGCAATTTTCTCTTGATCAATTATTAGTGAAAGAGTTTTTTTTTTAAAAAAAAAAAAAAAGTAGAAAGTCTATTAGTGCAAATTAAGAACACATCAATCATTTAATGATAATACAATTAATGCTACTCTCTTTGATACTTCTAAAAATCAGCTTGAAGCTGTAAATATTTACAGCGATTTGTCTAGAATTATATTATAAATCAGCAACTCTGTTTCTCAAAATGACATTCAAGGTTAATCTAATATTCGTCTTATACATCAGTAAGACCAGTATCACTTTAATTATCCTTTAAACTTATACATAAATGACTTATATTAGTAATACTAGACTGTAAACATATTTGGAATATTTGTTCATTTTGTCGCTGTAGATAATTATGAAAATGTCACAAAATGCTCATATATGGAATACTATTAATTGGAATATTATTCATAAGCAGATTTTATCCATCTTCCAAAGTCACTTCATTATGTTATTGTGCATTTCGAATATCCCAAATCGGAACGCGCGCAATAGGGATACCAGTTCACCTTTTCTATAGCGAATTATTTTATAGCGAATAACGAATATACCGACTTTTAAAGTAAATATTAATGTAGAATTTAAATATTGGAACAAGCATAATTAATGACCCTTAATATAGCGAATATCTTTACTTTTTAAAGTTTACAATGCACTGTTAATTAACGAATTTGATCACGCGTAATTATATTGAATTTGCCTAAGGAAAATAAAATCATGATTTATTATTTTGATTATTATGTATGATTACGTATTCGCACTTATAAAGAATAAAAAACATTGAAATTTAATTTTTGTTACTTTTTTATTAATCATATATATACTGTATATATATGGATTTGTTTTTTAAATAAATAACAAATGATTATTATGATTTATTTGATATAAAGAAAATCTTATCTTCATTCGTTATGTACAGTTAGAGAATTCCCTTTCTATAGCGAAGCGTGACTTCAGGTACACAAGATTCGTTATAGAAAGGGTGAACTGTATTCCCAATTGGCCGCAAAGTTTTTTTTTTTTTTACATACATATATATTTTATTTTTTTTACAATTTAAATATAGATAAAATTTATAATTATAAGTATTTTAAAACTTTTAAATTTCTCGTTTAATTTATTTGAAAAAACGGGTAAAAATAAAAAGTTGCAAGGATATCCGAAGTGGTCATCTGGGGTATCTGAAGTGAGTATATCCAAAGTATTCATTTGGGATATTATCCGCAGTGTTCAATTGGATATTCCAAGTGATCATTTGGTACAAATATATAACATTCCGATTTGGGATATCCGAAATGCGCATATCGGACATTAAAACATTTGGGTTACGCTTTTGCAAGATCAAGTTACTGGTAAACAAGGTTATGTTGACAATTACTAAGTAATAAGTTTAGTATTTCTCACGGTTGTCATGATCTCCTTCTTCTCATGGACTAATTAAGACAAACATTTTCTTTTCCAAATTCGAAGGTTGTACTAATTCAAGTAATCAGCATAGTATATGCTCTCAAAGTATGCCAAAGTGCTTATTTGACTCTAAGGAACGTGTTATGTGCGGAACAAAACATTCGAAATATTTGCAAACATATAGGAATCTATCCTATAAAGCTTATATCACAAATAATTTTTGAATTATTGGGATAGAACTGATGTTTTAATACTCTGGTAGTGAATAATACATAAATGTAAATTTAAATATACAGTATTATTAAAGAATTGAATGTTCTTTTTAATACAGTAATAGTTCCTGTTAAAGGATAACTAATTAAAATCGTATAAATGTTTTTAAGAAAGTTCTCTAGGCATATACAGGGAATATTCAATTTTTCTCCGATTAATTCATTTGGCACGTGATCAATAATATTGTCGATCCTACTTACGTTTTTGGATTTTTTTTTTTTTAAAAAAATAAATCTATAGGCAGGGTTGGGAAATTAGTACAGTTAGTACAGCTTAGTACAGTTTAGTACAGTTAGTACACATAATAATTAATATAAAATTTAGTACAGTACAGTACAAGTACAAGGTCAAAATTTGCCTAGTACATACAAATTTCCCAACCCTGCTTATAGGTAGGTGAAACAATAACCTCACTTGTTTAATTAATCTGTCAATGCGAATAAAGAAGGTTATATATCCAAACTCTACTCTGATTTCCAAAAATTATTGTTACTTACTTCTAAAACTAATAATCTTATAGATTATAATTAATCGAAAACACCGGCTTTTCGGGTGAAGTGGTTTTATTATATCTTTTTATGCAGCAGAAGAAATAATATAAATATACACAGAGTGTTGTCGTTATTCCCTTTTAAAGTTATTTGAAATTAACTATCTTATTAAATAAACAAAGTTTTGTTTAAATTTAATAAATGTAGTAAAATGTAAATAGAACATTCTAGTCGAAATTGTCTGATGAGTTTTTGTCGGAATTAAACTTCCATTAGGTTAAACCTTTATTTTGTAGAGAGATTCTGATATTGTATCAAAATTCGCTTTTTTTTTTCCTACAAAGTCGATAGGCTAATAATATCACTAATCTCAACAAAAGAGTATGAAATAATGTTCCGACTTGACAATATTTATTTTCTACTTTATTCATAAGTTTTAAACGCCTTTTCTGTTTATTGGTTTCACTAAATAAAATCTATATATATATATCAGGATAATTTCTTATATAATAATTTTCCTAATGGAACTATTATTAATTCTTCATGATATATTTCATATTAAATCATTTCAACAGATATTTTAACAACCTCATTTGAACTTGACATTTTGCATTATAATTTATAATTGCTAGATATTAACAAATATGTCTAAAAGCTAAATTAGATATTATCTTCAATACAACGCTCTTCATTGAATTTTCCTTTTTTTTTCGTAATTATCTCGTGAAATCTACGTTTTACGACATTTTTCAAGTGTACGAAATGGAAACAAAAAAAATTAGTTATGATCCTTAAAACACATGTGCAGGTGTTATTGTGCAAAAATTCATTAATCGTTACTGCGGATTACCTCATCCAGAACGTTCCAATTCATTTTTTTATTTATTGATTGCTAGCCGTATTACGTTACCTTTGACATTGTACAATGACTTTTATTTTGATAATCAACAACCTTATTGTTTGTGTTTACCATAATTAAGAAAATCATTAATGCTCAATAGTAATTGATCGCCCGCAAATCTCAAAAAATAGAATAACATTACGCTCCAAAAATTTAATTCATTTGGTGAAAAATAAATTCCTGATAAGCATATAGTAGAATAAGATTCTCATTGCATAATCATACTTTATTATTTAACTATTGTCTCAAATTTTTTTTTTTTTTTTATAAATAAGAGATGGTTCATTTGCTTTTTTTTTACGCGGTAAAACAAGAATTCCCTATTATCAATATTTGAATTATTCGCTAATTATTATCATCGTAAAAATTCAAAGGAAGAAAATTTTTAATCATAAAGGCATCTTTATTAACATACAATTTTGAAACATGTCGGTTCCAGAACAGGAAAATAATAATAACACCACAATCCCTAACATCGTCCTAGGCAATGGAGAAAAAGGAGAAAATATAGATTTCTCAATTGTTGACCAACTTCCTCCGCAACATAATTCAGAATCTTTCGTTGAACAAGAAGATGACGTCAACGAGAAATCCTCCGCAGGAAATAAAAAGGGAAAGAAGAAAAAAGTTAAAAAACCACCCGAGGAAAATAATGCCATTCCCGTGAGTCAAATATTTAGATTTGCTACGCCCCTCGATAAATTTTATATGTTCATAGGTACAATAGCAGCATTTGGTAATGGTATTGCTATACCTCTCACGGCTGTCATCTTTTCAGGATTTATTAACGTCTTTTCAAGATTCTCCTTGGCCGTATCAATTTATAATTCTACCCAAGATGAAGCACAATTTGCTGAAGCTAAAAATGAATTGAATTCAGATATTCGTCGACACGTTTATTATTTTATGATCCTGGGTGCTTCGATTTTTGTCGTTAGTTATATTCAAATGACCACTTGGTCAATTGCCGGTGCAAATCAAGCAGACGTATGTATATTAAATTTTCAAAACGTTAGTTAATTCCTTTTAACGTTTATTTAAATTTTTAAATTTTTTTTTTTTATTTGTACCTTTTCGCATTATGTTATGTTTAATAGAAAGTTCGCAGATTATATTATTCATCTCTATTAAAACAAGAAATAGCATATTTTGATAGTACACAATCAGGGGAACTAACAACACGTATATCAAATGATACTTATATTTATCAAGAAGGGATATCCGAGAAAGTGGGTTTGATTTTACAAAATGCTGCTACATTTTTTGGTGGTTTCATTGTCGCCTTCTTCGAAAGTAAGTAATATATACACACACATAATAAGTGTATGAATTTTTTTATTTTTTTATTTACTTAAATAACATATGTATGCATAATATAGGCTGGCAATTAACGCTTGTATTGTGTTCCGTATTTCCTTTGCTGATTGCCGCTGGAGCTATTATGGCAAAATCCGTTAGTGGTGATACATCAAAGGGTCAAGGTGAGCTTTTATATGTATAAATATTATATTTACAGTTTATTTTCAACTTTATCATTGACCCTTTTTTTTTGTTTTTTTTTTTTTTTTAAAAAAAAAGATGCATACGCAGCAGCAGGATCATTAGCCGAACAAGTCTTTTCTAACATTCGCACAGTGTTAGCATTTGGAGGTCAACCACGCGAATTCGCTAGATATTCAGCAAAATTAGAATTAGTGTATAAAGCGGGAAAAAGGAAGGCAGTAATAAGTGGCATTGGATTAAGTTCAATGATGTTTATTATATTTTGTTCTTATTCCTTGGCATTTTGGTACGGAAGTAAGCAAATTTTAAATGGATCAAAATCCAGTGGTAATATTTTAGGTGCTTTCTTGGCCGTTGTAATCGGGGGTATGTTAAAGTTATTATTATTATTTTTTTTTTTTAAAAAAAAAAAGTTATATTAATTTTATTATTATTGTTTTTTTTTTCTTTTTCCTTCCTTCGTAGGTTTTTCAATAGGAAACGCTTCGCCACATTTTAGTAGCGTAGCGGCATCGTTAGGATCGGCTAAAAAATTATTTACAACCATAGATCGTAAACCTTTGATAGACGTAACCTCCACCACTGGTCAAAAATCTTCTCCTTCCTCTAAATTTGAAGGACGCATCGAATTTAAGAACATCTCATTTCATTACCCATCTCGTCCTGATGTACCAGTATTAAAAGGTTTCTCAACAATAATCGAGCCAAATCAAACGGTAGCATTAGTAGGTTCAAGTGGTAGTGGAAAATCTACGATAGTTGGATTATTAGAAAGGTTTTATGATCCCGTCGAAGGAGAGATCCTTATCGATGGGGTACCATTAAAAGATTGGAATTTGAAATCTCTTAGAGGACTTATCGGATTGGTTGGACAAGAGCCGGTTTTATTTCAAAACACCATTAGGCAAAATATTGCATGGGGAAAAGTCTCGGAGGATGGTAGTGAAGTTGATATTGAGAAGATTAAAGAAGCGTGCAAAAAGGCTAACGCACATGAATTCATTGAAGATTTACCAAAGAAATATGATACTCCGGTGGGTGATAAAGGTGCATTATTATCAGGAGGACAAAAACAAAGAATTGCTATTGCAAGAGCACTTATAAAAGATCCACCGATATTATTGTTGGATGAAGCCACTTCTGCATTAGATACGGAGTCCGAAAGTCTTGTTCAAGACGCATTAGACAATGCATCCTCTAATAGGACAACAATTGTCATAGCTCATAGGTTATCTACCATCAAAAATGCTGATAAAATTATCGTAATGCATAAGGGTGAAATTAAAGAAGTTGGTAAACACGACGAATTAATTACTCAAAAGGGTGTTTATTATGGACTTGTGCAGGCTCAAGAACTAAAAACTCGAAAAAAAAAAGATGTAGAAGAAGATGATGATGATGACGATGATTCAAGCAGTTCAAGTAGTTTTACACAAAATAGAAATGATGTGGTCATTCCTTTTGATGAACAAGAAAATAAATCGACGCATTTAAGAAGAGCTCTTACGAGAGAATCTACGATAAAATCTATTAAATCAATAAAAGAAGAGGAAGAAAAATTAATTGAAGAAAAATTTAAAGGAACAAAGACGCCATTTTCAAGGTTATTTCAATTAAACAAACCAGAAATTGTATTAATAACGATCGGGGTAATCGCATCAGCAATCGATGGTAGCATTTTTCCAGTATTTGCTATATTATTTTCATCATTATTGGATTCATTGGCCAAAGTAGATCGTCCTAAAGAGCTGGAAAGTGATGCCAACTTCTACTCCGGAATATTTGCAATTATTGCATTAGTCACCTTTTTTGCAGGATTTGCCAAAACTACTTCCTTTATGTTAAGTTCAGAAAGATTAACTAAACGTATTAGATTAAAGACGTTCGATCATTTAATGAAACAAGAAGTGGCATTTTATGATGATGAAAATAATAGTGTTGGTATTTTAACTTCTAGATTGGCGGTTGATGCTACAAAGATTGAGGGGCTTACAGGTTCGCTTATGGGTAATATCATACAGACAACAGTCACCATTTGTATTGGTCTGGGGATCGCGTTTTTTTATGGTTGGAAATTAACCTTGGTCGTAATTTCGTCGGCTCCTATTATTGTAATTGCACAATACGCTAAATTAAAATCTCTCTCCGGATACGGTTCCAAGGTAATTAAATACTAGATTACTTAACCTCTTTTTATAATGTTCAGTAATATTTTTCACTAACGAACAAACGCACGTATCTTCAGACCCTCAAAGCATACGAAGGGACAGGACATATAGTTCATCAAAGTGTTTCTAATATTCGTACGATAGCATCTCTCTCGTTGGAAGATACATTCTACAAGTTATATTACGAATCAATATCAGAACCACATAAAACTGCTATAAAAGGAACTATGATTGCAGCATTAGGGTTTGGACTCTCACAAGGAATGATATATTTCTTTTACTGTCTTACTTTCTGGTACGGATCCGAATTAGTTAAAAGTCAAGAATATACTATAAAGAGAATGTTCAGCGTATTCTTTGTGATAACCTTCACCTCAACCGCAGTTGGTCAAATAAGGTATCTTTTTCACTTTTTTTATTTTTTAAAAAAAAATATATAAATATACATATATATATATTGAATACTAAAAAAGAATAAAATAAAAAAAAACCGACTTTTTTTTATCAGTTCTTTCGTCCCAAGTATTTCCAAAGCGAGGGTAGCAGCACTTTCGATATTTGAATTACTTGATAGAAAACCGAACACCTCTCCACCGGATAGTATAAATGATCGACCAACTCCAGTAACAGGATCATCTAAATTCGATGATGTACATTTCTCATATCCTGCACGTCCCGATTCAAAAATTCTAAGAGGTCTATCAATGTCAATACCTTCTAATAAGACAATAGCAATAGTTGGCTCGAGTGGTAGTGGTAAATCTACGGTAATTTCACTACTTTTACGTTATTATAACGCCAATTCCGGGGTTGTCCGTATGGAAGATATTGATATATTGCAATGGGACCTAGAGTATTTAAGAGAAAATCTTTCTTTGGTTGGACAAGAACCTATTTTATTTGATATGACAATTGGAGAAAATATTGCTTATGGGAAAGATGGCGCCACTCAGGATGAAATTGAAACGGCTGCCAAACAAGCTAATATAAACAGTTTTATTGAAACGCTCCCGGAAAGATACAATACCAGAGTTGGTGAAAAAGGAGCTCAATTAAGTGGCGGACAAAAGCAACGAATTGCCATTGCGAGAGCTTTAATTAGACGTCCAAAACTGTTATTATTGGACGAGGCAACTTCTGCCTTAGATTCCGAATCTGAAAAGGTTGTGCAAGATGCTCTTGATAAGGCCGCTAAAGATCGGACCACTTTAACGATTGCCCATCGATTATCTACCATCCAAAATTCGGATTTAATTTTGGTTTGTAAAAAAGGCAAAGTTGTTGAATCGGGCAAGCATTTTGATTTAGTTGCTAAAAAAGGGATATATTTTGATCTAGTTAACAAGCAATCCCTCACAAAAAATCACGAATGAACAATTATTATTATTATTATTATTATTTTGTAAAATAAATAACTTTCAAGTAAATAACTATAAATTTTTTATCATGATCTTTAAGTTCATAAATGATTATCCCAGCGTAACTTTCACGAATGTCACGAAATGACCGACATTAAAATTTCCAGTCAATTAATAAAGTGGAGGTGATAAAAATATAGTCAAGTGATTCCGGGACATTTCGCAACCGTCCTAGCGTCACCCCGAAAATATGGCACATATACAATTACATTAAAAATTAAAAATTTGCCCCAGAATACTTAGTAAAATGAAGAACGCCGGGATGTGACACACTGTGATAATTTCTTAACTATCCTAACTTAACGCTAATAATAAATACCCAGAAAACAATTCGGCCCAATTTTCCGGGAGAGCAGTTTGATATACTGTTGCACTCACGTGATTTTAACAATAGATAGTGTAAAGATTATGTCATTTACGGAGATGTCGTTTACACGAAATTAATATAAAACCTTTTTCAAAAAAAAGAGTATCTTGATAACAATGTTGTATCCTTCGTTCGATTTTGTCAATCGGTGGAATTCGAATACTCTCTTTACATATTTGAAAGATAAACATGGGCCAGAGTACATTAACTACTTCAAGATCAAGACATTAATATTGAAACATTTATGCTATAAATGAAGAAACCTTTATGAGGCCTTCATTATAAATTTCTGGAAGGTCCATTCTGAAAATCGTAAATTTAATTGAGAAGCTTAAGAAGCAAGAAAATGGCAAGAATTCAACTAAATGGAGGCAGTTATCATTTCATTTATGAGAATATTAATAATAAGAATCTTATAGAAGATGATAATATGGATAAAGCTTATTAGCTCAAGAGATTTAAGCCCAAGTGGATAAATCTCAGGTAATTTGAATTAGTTTAGAACACGAATTTATACATGAATAAAAATTTATAATTATAGTGTCTCACTTGGACGAACCTGTAAATGCAACACCGACATTAACACGACTATGCTCTAACGATATATTAACGTGAATGACAGATTGTATTATTCAAAACAAGTAATATAACTAACCTGTTGAAAGCACATGCATCACTGATTTTACTTAGAGTTTTACGTTTCTCTGATCAATTAAAATATTCATTAGAATTTCAATTTTCTTCTTCAATGAAAGGATCGTTTATATGTTTGGATTACAGTTTACAGGAATTATTAATTTTTTGGTAATCTACATACTCATGCTTACACTTAATGTGCCAATTATTCAAGACATTATAATCATCCTTGGATTAATATCTAATCTTTTATTTATTTTAAGGTTTTCTCGTTTATTAAAAGACATTTACACGAATCGTTATATGGATTGAATTTCAGTTTGGAGGAATTAATCATAGGAAGCTTCATACTCATGCTTACACTTAATACACAAATCGTTCAAGAACATTCTAGACATCCTTGAATTTATACCCATGTGTAATGAATATAAGTGTCAACTAAATTACTTAGAGTTTTACATTTTGTTAAATAAACTTTTATTTCATTAGAGTTTAGTCTTTCTTATTAGAAAATCATCTACACGAAATGAAATTAACCATTTATAGTTTTATATCCGTGCATACACTTAATAACTCGTTTCTCTAATCAATTAAAAACTCTTTATTATTTTATTAAAACTTGGATTTTCTTTAATCATCATTTCCTTCTTCTGTTTCATCATTATCTTTTTTTTTCACCATCAAATTTTCTTTGCTTAATGTGAAAATTTTATCTAATATTTGACTATTAACTTTAATAGCTTCGCGCCTCAGATGACCTCACACTGCGGAAAATATCATGAAAATGATACATGTTAAACATGTATCGTTTGATCTACTTTATAATACATGTATCAAATAGTTTACCTTTCATTATATATATTATATCTTCTTTTTATTACTTATACTAGGGAAACGGTAACCGTTATGTAGTCCGGAGCGTTTTACGTGATCAAGATGATCAAAAGACATGTATCTTACATATAAGAATTTGGGTGTGATGGTAATTAGATAATATATGTCTCAAATATTGGCAAATAAAAAATGATTTATTTATCAAAATAATATAAATTTTTCATATCGTTTCGTTGAGAAATAGCTAATCACATCAATTACAATTGTTTGATTGTTAAAACTTACGATTAGATAATATTTCATATGTAAAGGACGTATTTAAAATTGATTTAAACAATAAAGAAAAAAATTTTTCAATTGATATATTAAAAATGAATAAACTTGCTAACACAAATGAAAAAAAAAGACAAAAATATAACTGAACATCAAAATGATATAAAATAAACAATTCTATTAATACAGAGACCATCTGAAAGTGAAACAAAAAAAATCAAGAGACAGATGAACAACAAACTGAAAGACTCACATGAGAATATGAATTAAAATGCTAAAAAAGATCAAAGAAAATGGAACAACAGTGACAGGAGCATCTTCAAGGTGATTAATAGAGAAAAAAAAAGAAAAAAAGCTACAGAAACTAATAGAGAAAGGGAAAATTGACAAAATAGGAAAAATAAACATAATCAAGATACATATAATCAGACATGTTAAGTATTATAATAAAATAAATAGAACAGAATATTAATGAATTGTAAAAACAAAGGTGGCAATTAGAATTAGAAGAAACTTACAATAAAGATGAACAAAACAGTAACGAAAGAGAATAAAAGAAGAATACAGATTCAAAATTACATATTAAATCACAATTAGTTACCAGTATCAGCAATAAAGAAATATGTTTACTTTAAGATTTCTGAAAAAGATGGATAATTTAAGATTCAACCTTTGCAATATATGTAACAAGAGAATACTAGTAATGCTAATGACTCATAAGATGTGTAAACAATGCTATAATGAAAAGAAAAGTTCCTGTAAATTTTCTGCTAAAAATAACATAGACCTAAAAAAAGTATCAAATAAACTTAAAAAACTTAACGAAATTGAACAGATGCTTATAGCTCAAATCTTTACAATAATAGTTTATCAATTATAAAATAGTTAAAATAGGTATAGAGATTATATTATAAATTTTTTACAGGATATAGAAGGATTTATAAATAAGCTTTCACAAAATACATCTTTACTCGATATTTTTATTGTATAATAATAATTAGAAAATGATACAAATAGATTCAAAGATTTTACTATTCAAAGAAGTAAAGTATATATAGCATTAATATGATTAAAAAAATAATCTTTACTATCAGGATATAATAATAGATAATTAAATACTCAAATCCCTATCTGAAAATAGTTTTATATTTAACAAACTGCCATAGGTTTGAGAAGAACAATCAGTAGATGAAAATCAAATTGATATCAAAATAAAGATAAAGATATATTAATATTATTTATTTTTTACTTTTATTAACTCATGAAATAAGGATACTATAAATGAAATACTCAATCAAATGCAAAGTAATAATCCTTTATTATTATAGATAGAAATCGAAGAAATATCTATTTATAATTTTATATGTTTAGATATATGGTAAGAGCTTTCTAATACTTTACCCTTCTAGTCAAGCTGATCTTTGATCTGCATATATAAGAGAAATCAAATTAACTAAATATTTTAAACATCTATTATAATATAAAAATAGGAAGTTCACATAATATTCAAGATAAAGGTATTTTACATTAAATTTATATAAAGTAGAGAGTACTACAGGTATGATAAATTTTTGTTAAACAGAACTTAAAAGAAAGTTAATTAGAAGTTTCTGATATACAGAAAATAATAACTTATAGAAAACAACAAATAGCAGAATATATCATGAGGTTTAATGAAGGATTAAGCATAATATGCTAATTTTAGATAATATAATGAAAGGAACTAACAGATATAATCAAATAAATCAGAATTTAAAGTTAATATTCTTTACATTTAGTGTGACAGATTTATACTAGCCCTGAATTATACAAACTAATAAAAGTCAATAATCATAACTAAAAAGATATAAAATCAGTAAAACAATGATTAAAGAATGTGATTAATAATTCGCATATAACTACATAGTTATTTGATAAAAGATTTATTACTTTTTCAAGAATATATTGGTAAAGTAATGGTAACTTAATAATTAGTAATATCATTAAAATGGCAGCATATATATATAGTGGAATATCAAAATCACTGAGCATTTGTGATGTTGATTATTTTTTAAAAAATTATATCAAATTTTAAATTAAAATAATTTACGAAATATCGTATCAATTTGAATAAAATTTTTTTATATTAATCATTTAAATATATATTTTATAATTTTATTATTAATATTTTGTAGAATTACCTTTATTTTCAATATAACAATAATATGATATATCATACTATTAACAAAATTTTTATATATTTTTTCATTAAGTTTTAGTTATTCGTTCTGCAAAATCTACCATAAATCATTTTGAATTTTTGGTAATAGTTTATGTTTTCTGACTTTTCTATCAAATTTATCCTATAGATTCTCTATATAATTTAAATCTAGATTCTATACAGGCTATGATAAGCTAGTAATCTTATTTTCTACTTCCCATTTTTTTACTGCATTTGCTTTGTGAATAGAAACATTATCTTCTTAAAAATATAATTATTATTATTTTCTAAACTATTTATAAATGATAATAAATAGTTATTTAACACATTTATATATATATTTGCTATTATATTATGACCAATAAATCTAGTTTATTTTTTGTAAAATAATCCTAAATCATAATACTCTATTAATCTAATTTAAATATAGGAATAAGACATTTTGAATAATATTTTTCTTGAGTATTTCTCTAAACATATTTTTTCTATCTCTTTTAAATATATTAAACTGAGATTCATTACTTCAAATAATATTTTTTCATTCATTTTTTCAAACTTTTCTATTTTTGGCTAATGTTAATCTTTTTATTTTATTAACTATATTTACAAAAGATTTTTTTTGCTCCAATTCTTCCAAAACTCCAT